GTGAGCCGTGCGCCCTGCCATCGACACGGCCAGCCCGTGTAGGTGAGCCGTGCGCCCTGCCATCGACACGGCCACCCCGTGTAGGTGAGCCGTGCGTCCTGCCATCGACACGGCCAGCCTGCAGCTGTGAGCCGTGCACCCTGCCATGGACACAGCCAGCCCGCGGACGTGAGCCGTGCGTCCTGCCATCGACACGGCCAGCCCGCGGCTGTGAGCCGTGCGCCCTGCCATCGACACGGCCAGCCCGCAGCTGTGAGCCGTGCGCCCTGCCATCGACACGGCCAGCCCACGGACGTGAGCCGTGCGTCCTGCCATCGACACGGCCAGCCCGCTGCTGTGAGCCATGCGCCCTTCCATCGACACGGCCAGCCCTCGTAGGTGAGCCGTGCGCCCTGCCATCGACACGGCCAGCCCACGGCTGTGAGCCGTGCGCCCTGCTGTGGGCCTTCCAGCTGGGCGCATCACTCACGTTCAGCGCGTGGATAGGTCTGGTGACATTGAACTTGTCCATGGTAGACAGGATAATGGAGGGTGTGGTCAGGAAGAAGAGCACCAGGAAGAGGGTGAAGTTGATGCCCAGCCACTGCAGCCACCAGCGGGGGCCCTGGACGGACAGGTTCTTCCTGCAGAAGGGGACAAGGCCTGGGGGTCAGCTCCGCAGAGGCCGCCTGGCCGGCCTGCGCCACTGCCAGGGCTCACGTGGTCAGAAGCACCCTGGGCCGGGCAGGACGCTCACTGCATGGGACTCAGGAGTAAGGGCAGGTTCTCTGCCCCGGCCTTCAGCTACGAGAGGCGAGTTTCTGGCCCCTAGTCATGCTTGTGTGGTTTTTTGGCCAGGGCCTGGGGCCAGAACCCACGCAGAGACCCCACGAGCACCAGGGCAGGCCGGGGAGGCTCTAGCGCGGCGCCCCGGGCAGACATCCTGATGCTTCGTGGCCGGGGTCTGCGTGTGGCAGGCACAGACAGCGCACACCGGGAGCCTGAGCTGGCCTCATCCACCAACAAGAGCCATGCTCCAGCCCAGGTTGCAACACAGAGAAAGTCGGAGGCTGAACTTCAGCTCACCAGATGCCAGCAGCCCACACTCGTGTGCACACACCGTCGGCCGCCACGCCTGGCCCCGTGGACACAGCTCAGCTTGCCACCACCCTCCCAGCTATCTTGGGAACTATGACGCGGTCAGCCACGAGCATCTACTGTGCATTCAGAACACGGATCGTCTGGGCTGAGAACGCTGGAATGTAAAATGTGCAACGGGGTTCAAAGACCAAGGAGAAAAACAAAAGTAGGCCAGGCTGGCGGCTCACACCTGTGATCCTGGCTATGGGAGGTGAGGCTCACGGCCAGCCCAGGGCAGGCCCCAGAGCTCAGGCTTGCAATCCTAGCGGCTCAGGAGACCACCTTGGGCAGGAGGAGTATGTGAGACCCTCGTCTCCAATTAAGTACCAAAAACACTGGGAACAGAGCAGTGGCTCAAGGGGTAGACCACCAGCCCTGAATACAGAAGCCTTGAGTTCAAGGCCCAGGACTGGCACCAACAAAGAAAAGAGAAGACAGCTGGGTGTGGTGGCACTTGCCAGCTGCTCAGCGAGGAGGACTGCGGCCAGGGAACACAGGCAGCGCCGTCTGCAGAGCAGAGCTGGGGTGCCACCCAAGCGCCCTGGTTTACATTTCATACTGCTTTAAAAATGTGGATTTCTGGGCTGGGAAGGTGGCTCGGTGGTAGAGCGCTTGCCTCACATGCACGAGGCCCTGGGTTTGATTCCTCAGCACCACATAAACAAAAAGAAAAAAGCCAGAAGTGGCGCTGTGGCTCAAGTGGTAGAGCGCTAGGCTTGAGCTGAAGAGCTGAGGGACAGCGCCCAGGCCCAGAGTTCAGGCCCCACGACCGGACCCCCCCGCCCCAAAAAGTGGACTTTTAGCCAGGGTCTGGGACCAAGAGATAAAATCAGAATTTAAGATATTACACGTTCACGTGTAGTATTTTAGATATTCTGAAAGAACTACATTATTGAAGTGAGCACGGTTTCATCTCACAGAGCTACTAGAAAACCTGTAGTCACACAGCAGCTCAATTATCTCAGGACTGTGGGGCGCAGGGGTGGACGCCATGGCTGGGCCTCTCCCAGCCGGCACGCCAGGTCAGGCAATGCGCCCCAGGCCCTGGGTGGCTCCCCCTCCCCGGCCGGCCCCAACTGCCCTGGGCGCTCCCCCTCCCTGGCCGGCCTCGCCCCCACCCCAGGCTCACCAGCAGACGTCCTCGGGGTAGCTGGCCAAGGCCACGGTCCACTTGGAGGTGCCCAGCTCCCGGCTGTGCGGTGAGGGCTGCGGCTCGGCCCGGCAGTGCAGGCCCTGGCACTTGCAGGTGTTGAAGTCCTTCAGGATGCTGGGGGGAGGGGGGGTCGTGCCAAGAGGCCATGCCTCACTGCAATCAGCCATCAGAGAGGCCGCCCAACCCCACAGGCAGGGCCGCCACACCCAAGCTCCCAGGGAAACTGAGGCTCACAAATGAGGTTTGACCCCTGTGCTGCTGGCATGCCCCGCACAGCACCCCCTGGGGGCTGCCTGCACATGGGCGAGCGCCTGCGGGCACACACACACACACCAGCCCAGAGGCTGGAGCCCCTCCCCTCCCCGCCCCCCAGCCTCGGGGCAGGCCTGTCCCTCAAGCCTGCCCAGGACAGCCCCTCCCATCACCCTGTCCCCCCCTGCCCGCGGGCAGCTGGTATCACCACCCCCAACCGCTCCAGGCGGTGCCGGCCTGGCCAGAGCAGGGGAGTGGGCAGGTGGCTCATCTCCTGGCAGGGAGCCGGCTGGGAGGGGACAGCGCTCACTAGGTGGCCATGGCCTGCTCCCGGAAGGTGACAAAGGCCATCCCCAGGGGCCGGTCCTGCACCAGCCGCTGCTCCTCCCTGATCCGCGCCAGCAGCCGCGCCTGCATGCGGGTGTAGTAGGAGATGGCATCCTCCTGCAGAAGGTCCCCACGGTGAGCACACCACACCCCTGCTCCCGTACCCC